ATTTATCTGGGTCTGAATTCAAAGTTCCAAGATAAGTAGACTACCCTTCCATGGTAAGTCATATCGAATTCCTTTACGCACAAACAAACAATCAAAGAAACAAACAGACGCGAGCGCTTTATAGACAGTATGGATTTTGTCAGAACAGGTGGCCATTCGGTTCTTTATTTCTCTGAGATGTAGGAATTTGGAAGAGAGGATTGGAGGAGTGATAAACTCATCCCACCCAAGACAATGGGTAGGCTCGGGTAAAAAAAGTAGATGCTCCAGTCGATTCCCTTTCGAATTAAACTGCGAAAGTTCGGCGAACACAGCTATGCTCAACTAGCCTCGGACACTTCAGTCAGAAGTTCTACTCCTATCCCTTTTACAGTTTTCTTTAGCGCTTCCCTGCAAAGCTTCACAAGTTTGGACGACATATAGTGTATCGATGATGGTCTTGGGGCTTAGTTTGCTGCAGTTTGCAGCTCCCTCTTTTGGCGCCTTGAAAGAAAGTATCTGGCGAGATGAAGACAACACCGTCGTCAGTCAATCAAAGCTCTAGTTTGAAAATGATGTGATCCACTCCATAATGCAGGAGTCCAATTCTGTTTGATAAGCTTTCGCACGGATCGATGTTGATATCCAAATTCCTCTTGAAAAGACACCTACATCGCTGACACGTTGACCTTCCTAGCTGCATCTTCCCATATTCTATACAAACTTCGATGCGAGTGTGCGAACTATTCATAAAACTACGGATCGCCACTTTATACCTTTCCCTTTTGAGCAGCCTCTCAATGCCCTGAGCTTTTAGAAGCCTCTCCCGTCTCCCTGAAGCTACTAAATTATAAGCTCCTTTAGGTTCAGTGTAATTAGGCCACTTCTATCATTATGGGGTATGAGTAACCACGATAAGCCTGTCAGGTTCCGACGCGGCTGGGCGGGCTTCGGACAGCTAGCCCGGCCTTACAAACTAATAAATGCATGCTTATGTAAGCCACACCTGCGAAGAAACAAAGGGTTTGAACCCAATCAGCACTTTAGCAAATGGAAGCCCAATCTTAAATCCACCCGAGTCACTGGATAAGTACAGGCTACCTTTGATCCGCGATCTATTCCTATTTGCCACCAAGTCACGCCAAGTGGCGTGGCCGATAACCTGCTAGAGATCCTCAAATTTTAGGTCAGATTTCAATTATACAAACACAAACATCATATCTTTGAAACACTTCATCGCCAGCATCGAAAATAAAAGACAATAAAAGATTTATTGAATTATTAATCAGCCATATGCACACGTTTTCTGAGAGAAATTGTAAACCCAATCATTTCGAGGAAATTATTAGAAGGTGAGTTACCTACCCTTGAGATTTCTCATAATCCAGACATTCAGAACCAGAATGCTTTCCAAGAAGCACTTATGAGAATGCACTGTAAGGGAACGGATTTGCATGACTAGATCATCCTTAAAGTTGGACGATATTGATTCTTCTCCATGTACAATTGTTCGCGTATCGATTTGCTCTCAACCGGTATCCAATGGTACCTTAATAAACACATCCGTTATAATTGATCTCTGAAGAAACTAGTAACGTACAGCTGCTTCTAACCGAGGACTTCGTATCACTGCTTTTGTAGCACTTTTCTTGTGTTGGCAGTATAACCGGACCGAAATACCATGGGCTAAAGATTGTAGTGGATTGGGATGACACTTGATTCGAACGACGTGCGACGGCGCAAACACGACATTGCCTCCCTCTTCAAGAAGATGCTGCAACGAGTTAGGCTGAACATTGGCCTAATCAAATAGCAGGCTCCACAAGTTCTGACCACCAGTTTTTGTTAGTTGTAAAGCACAATACACACATAATCGATATCACTCCATACCCTATAGACTTTCGATACAACCATCGCAAAGAAGTACTCGAAGCCAAATTCAACAGTAGGGAAGGGCTGCTCGTGTTCGATAAGCATATTTTCATCTTTGATGGATTTGTGAACAAGGACTTCTGTTCGAGATCTGAAGAAAAAGCAGCTATCAAGTGACCCGTGCACTTCCCAAAGCAAAGTGTAGGTCAGAAGTCACCGGTGTGCATTTTTTGTGACTACATCAACAGTTGGGGCGGAGGTGATGTAGTGGCAAGTGGCGCACTATCTCGCACGCACGTTTAGGGGTTCGAATCCAGGATCGATGCCCGCCTGGGCCAACTAAGCCTTCCATCCCTCCGGGGTCGGTGAATTGGTACCAGACTCGTCTGGGACGATAAAAGCACTGGCTTGTGCATCGGCTGGCCACCGCAAGTCATTGTATAGGCCACATGCGCACTCATTACTACGATTCTGAATGGAAGTCGAGTGCGGGGGCGCATCCCTCAGACGGGATGGATCGACGCCAAGAGCTTTATCCTTTATCCTTTACATCAACAGTTGTCACCCATGTCATGAACGGCACTCCAACCCTAACCATGAGTTCCCTTTTCTATGAGCACTGCGAAAATAAGCAATTTTCTTACTCGTCTAAACTGTGGCGTACAATCATAAACTCTATAAACAATCCAGGAACATTGATATTGAGCGGAAGAATCCGCGGAAGGTCCGTATGGAGCGCTTCTCTGTACGCCAGTCCTTGTTCAATCAAAGGCAGAAAATCCTTGACCCTAAAAGCACTAATTTTTTGACCACGTTGATTTACATTACGGATTTTTGTGATACTCCTTACCTACCTTAAGCTTAGTTTTTTAGCCAGTACATCGTCGACTAACCACCACTGAGCACCTAGCGACTCTTGATTCGGTTTTGTTTTCAATTCACCACCTGAAATTGTCACAAAGGCCGCGAATGAATAAATGATTCTATATGGAATAGAAATCATGAATCGCAGCCGAGACAAATGAAAAAAAGTGGGACAGAAGAGGGGATAAGGGAGCAAAAAAGCAGCTCAAAGGCACGTTCACGAGAATTTTGGAGTGTCTATCTAGATGGGTGATGGAAGTGATAGTACAAAACAGTAAAAATGGGGAAGAATGCGAAAATCGGGTTACTAAAAGAAATGTAAGGCTTCGGGAAGTACTAAAATTAGTGGTCTGACGAGTATGGGACGACAAAAGTTGCAGGGAGGAGGTATTTAACGAGTTGTCCACATGTGTGTGCCACTGCGAACAGCCACGAGGAACTGCCGGAGGACGGTGAACCTCCGGCAGCTCCTTGTGGCTGTTTTGGTGCGTCCGGAGGTGCGCGCAGCAAATAAATAACTACATCATCTTCATATCGACCAAGTCGATCTCTTTATGAGCATCGTCTCTATTTTGTGCTCATGCTTTATATCTTGATGATAAACGATAGAGACGTTTGAATCGCCGCGAATTCCACCGCGCAACTTGCCGCGCGCATCTCTAACGCACCAATTTACACATATGTATATGCATGCAATGTATTCGTCCCAGTGTGGGTGCATCCCATCCAGTCTCTACACCGGCGTGAGAACTAGTCCGCTTCGATGTGTACATCGGCTAAGCCGCATTTGGGTCTTTATTGCGCCCTATCTGGACAGTTTTTCTACCAGACATCGACCCTCCGATAGCCTTAGGGGTCTTAGTTCCTACGGAGAATAACAGAAATCATTTTATCGTAAACCGTGACTTTAGGAGCTCTATTAAAACTCAGCAAATATTTTCGATCCACACATCAGCACAATCGATTTTAGATTGCAAAAAAAAGGCTTCAGGCTAATCCTAGGACGAGTGAAACCGAGTTTTCTCGGGGTGTAAATGGTAAAAAGAGCATTTCCACGGAAGTGTCAAAAAATGAGATCGCAAATCGATTGCTCTCACCGTGATTACCGATTTGGTTGTGCCAATTCTGCTGGATAACAGATACACACACTTCTATGGAAATACAATCTTCAGAGCAGTTGAATTTCCGAGGTTAAGCATGTTTCTCACTTATAAGGAAGTAATTTGCTGTGTCGGTTTGTCGTTTTGTAAGTCTATCGGTAGTCAGTTTGTCGGTTTGTCTGTCTGTTCGTCCATAAACTTTTATGATTACGATAAAGGTAGCGATATGGGAAACTCAGCTCTATCCTCCTACATTTCCTCCTTATATATAAAACAGTGACTTGGTGGGTAGGTTAATGGAAAAGACCACTGCGGAATGATGTAAGCAATTTGGAGTGAAAAAGATACTTCAAAACTGTGGTCTCGAACTGTACCAACATCGTACTCATTATCACTCCTCTTAACACCTACACTTCGAAGGCTTTAGAACAAAATCTACGAAGAAGATTGCGTCTCGGATAAAGAGCTGGTTGCATACTGAATAAGTGTGCTTCGCTATGAATAATATGAAGCCTTAATGTGCCTTATTCATGCTTTTCGATGAGACAAAGCCTCATTTGGCACCCTGAGGGGCGAGGTTTGGGCGTGTGCGCAGATATCCATGTACGTCTGTCTGTACGTGAATGTACGAGATTGTGAGCGTGAGTGCGTATGTGCTTCTATCTGAACAGTATTCCTGTATAACTCGAAAGACCGGGACCAGCGTCAAGAGACACATTCACTCACAAGGTGCTCTATAAGCAGCTGTAAGGATTATGCAGCTCATAACTCACTCCAAAGTAAAAGTTAAAGCAGCTACAAGATGCTTCACGTGGTTTGCTTAATTTTCAGGACGTGTGTGGCGATATAACAGCTGTTAGCAAAACATCAGTTCAGAACAGTTACGGCCGATTTGATTTCCCAAGTGCCAATGCAAATTGGAGTTCCTTCTTGGTGCGCATCTATCCTTTCTAAATCTTCCCCTTCAACGTATCCCACAGAAAAAAGACAGGGAAATCAAGTTGGGTGACGTGGAGGCCAGAATCTTCGAAAGTTGATGCAGTCGGAAAAAATGCGTTTTGAAAAACTCTTTGACTCGTCGACTACCTGATGTGGTCCCATCCTCTACGAACTAGACATTCCCAATTTGACACTCATTTGGTTCACATTATGGCCTAAGATTGATCCCTTGGTAAGTGGATGAGTGTTCTTCGTATAAGAAAGTCATAAGGTAGTATGCATTTAGAAACGCATCAAGCGACATTTGCGCTGTCACTGGAGCCCTTTTACAGGGCAATAGCACGGGCTAGTGCAAACTGGTGCTGCCTGCAAGGAGCTCCTCAAATGTACTCGAATTCACGAAAGGAATACAATCAAATCTGGAATATTGCTCAACTTCAGCCAGTAATCACTCACTTGCTATTTGGCAGAAGAACGAAAATCGATACCAACCACTGCCTTGAACCTAAAAATCGGCAGTGCGCTTCACAGCATACAAAGTTGAATATTGACTTGCCTCTAAAGATAATAGCTCGATAACATCACACTCGTACCCAGACTCTTCTCGAACTTCTCGTTTTACAGCATTCTGAATAGCACTTAAAAGTCCATGAAACGTTCGACATACCAGTAGAACTGTAGCTCTCCTAATATCTCACCTCAAGTGTTTCACCGGCTTCCACCCGGCCCGCGGGCATATACCATTTGCCGTAACACGTTTTCTTTGCCTCCTGAATGAGCAGCACCTCCGTCTTGGGGCCTTCTCCTCGGAGAATGATGCCAGCCGCGACATAGTTCACATTGTCGTGCAGTCGAACGTATCGACATTCTATAAGCATAAGCGTATGTCAGAGCCACTGCTATTCCTTAGTAATCGCCTAGTAAGGCTCACTTCCTAGTTGCATATCGGGTACCCTTTCCTCGTTCATTATCTCTCCTTCTAGGTGTTTCTTCTTTTCCTGTGGCGCACTTTTACCATTTTTCAAAATGCCTCGTGTGGGTGAATCACCTAAAAATATGCATACCTGCCGTGGACCAGTTTAAATGAGTAGTGTGAAGAATAACCAGGACTAATAGCACTTATTTTGTCGAAAAAGAAAGCAAAATTGATCAGAACATCTTCAGGGGGAAGGTTTTTCTGTAGGGACGCTGCTGAGGGTTAGAATTCAAGAAGGAATGTTTCGAAAATTTCATGAAAACAAAATCGGAAGCGTCTGCCACAGCATAGATGGGAGGGTGGACTCCTAGGAGTGGGTACTCACAAAAGCCTTACCGGGGATGTCGACAAGCAATTGTATCGATATTCCCAATAAATTTCTCCTGATTTAATGCTGACAATGAAAAAAAAAATGGTGGCTGAGTGGTGCTCTCAAGCGCTGAAACGAGCTAACAAAGCCAAAATATATGAAAATACGTAGGAGAATCTGCCATATTTCTACGATAACCCCACTCCTCAATCGGGAGAAAAAGACGACAACTGATAAGGGGCGACAGAAGTCGAAAACCTTCAGATTCCTTTGCGGCTATTGCAATTTCATTCACTATGACAATGGGATGAGAAGGGACATAGGCTGTATTGACAAATGACCTCGCTAATGTCCAACAGAATGAAACCACTGGAGCGTTCCATTACGCATGCAGAAAGAACGCCGCTATGATTTCTAATGAACGTTGATACACTCGTTCTTCCAAATGGGTCTGATGAACGCCACGAGGTATCCCTTAGGTTTCAAGTGAGTAGCCATCGCAACCTTAGGTTTTGAAGTAAGCAGTCTTCGTAATCTCCATCTGGCAGGCTTAAGGGAGGCATAACTCGTCATGGGCAGACTCATTTGAGCGTGATTTTGAGGTTCTAATCTCTGGCTTCAAAACGCAAAGCTGACAGGAAATCTGCCTCTCCGATTCGGTTGGACTTACATAGAGAATTACGCTTTCCTCCTCCTTGCTAGATTCATGGAAAACATTCACAGAGACAACGAAAAGTTTGCAGTAACAAAAGCAGCGACGTTATCGAGAACTAACAACAGAATGGTAGAAATCAGCAACCGAACAGCACTGCAACCACCACACACAACAACTATGATATTCTTATTGTAAGACATATCGTAGTGTTTATGTGAGAAAAATTTCATAACAGTCACATGTCTTTGTTCATGCACTTATAAAAAGGGACTGTGCTGCAGATCTTTCATAGTTAAAGGCACAGTTGACGATAAAAATGGTCTCTGAGGTTTCTCTATAGTATGAATTCGAGACTCCTCCTTATACATTGTATCGGGTGAATGCACACCCATAGTGAACGAGTTTCGACGGCTTTGTAGAGGCTGCATTACCTCAAGGCACTATCATGTATAAAGTTCAAACAACTTGTCGTAATCCATGGCGACAGTGATAGGCAGTTTCGAACAATTTCGGCTTGATATAGTCATCTCCTTGCGCTGCCTTGGCTGGCTTGTAGCCGCTGCCCAAATGCGCTTACATATCACATAAAGGAAGCCATGCTCAGTCCACTATTGCGAAACCAATCTAAACGACTTTTGGAGGAGAAGATAAAACTCTCTGCGTTGCTCAATCTTGTACTGATTGTTAGCTCAAACATTCGACTCCTCATAGAACCGAGTTGAATGTGAATTTGGTACGATCTATAGCATTTTGGGAGTCGGTGTCCAAAACCTTTCAGATTTCCTGACTACTCAATCACCGAGAGAGGAAGACTCGACTGCTTCGGTAGCTTTCAATTCCGTATAGGAATTGTGGTTAACGGACTGTGTGTAGGACGAAAGCCGCTCAATACATGTCCACTCCACTACACTCCAACATTTCGCCCTCGAGCTTCGTCTGATTTTAGCGTCTGGAGAAGTGTGGCGGCAACATACCTCGCAATACATTACCAATGATTGAATCATCTGGGTATGAGTCACGATTTCTTACAATCTTCCATTTTCCTCCCAATCTCATGCTGAGGAACTTTATTGGATTGTGCGCTTGCTGAGAATAAGGTCAACAGTTCTGTCAGTTCTGGGAAAGAAGCGAGACGATACATCACCGTATCATTCACTATTTTATGTCAAGCGCCTATGCCGTACGCACGTAGCGCAATACTTAGAAGTTGAAAGACACAGTTCATGATAAAAATGGTTTCTGAGATTTCTCTATAGTATGAATTCGAGGCTCCTCCTTATACTATACCTTCCTTAGGTGGAAAAACGGCCTGCACGGGGCACAATAAGGAGACAGAAATTGTATCGTGTGAAAGCCAGTAGACGACTTTCAACATTTTTGTAGAGGCTGCCCTATATCAAGGGCCTCCCATGTAGAGAGTTCAAATAACTTGCAATAATCCATGGCGACAGTGAAAGGCAGTTTCGGAAAATTTCGGCTTGATATAGTCAGCTCTTTGCGAAATGGGAGCAATCAAATCTCGTCCAAACACCCCTTACAGCCATTCCCGTCACGGAGACCTCGTACAACCTCCACTTCCACAACTTCAAAAAAGCATTGAAAAAGTCGGATTTTCTCGCTTCTAGCTACCGATGTACTCCCCTAGATCAACACTTCCGCTTTCAAACCTAAAAAGGGTACCTCGAAATTATCGTGAACTGTGCCTTCAAGACAGTAGCCACCCTTTCGTGTTCGTTCAAGAACACCACGATTGTATGAAAGGAGAAACTTATATTTACAGATCTGTCAACCATGAGTCATCATTACTTGCGTCATATCTTAATCGTCAAAAAAGTGACTGACTCTGAGTGAGATTTGAGGGCGGATTCAAGTGAATAGATTGATCAGCGCACGCCACTCATTAATTAATCTCATCCCTGAGACTTTGATAAGGGCTATAAACAAAGGTATATTTGTGGAAATGAAAAAAAGATATGCATCTCATAACAAGCGAAGCATGATGCAATTGTAAGTTAAGAGAGGCACCTGGTTGACCTCCATCAATAAATTCTGGCGTGGGTTCAGGAGTTGGATCCCGGCTCTCGGCTATGTACTCCTCGTCCGAGGTTACCATATCTGGAAATTCAGATGATCTTCAGGTATGAAAACGCTTACACGTAGAACACATACAGGTGTAAAAGACAAACGAGGAGAAGGAAAATCAATTCAGTGCAAACGATGGGAAGAGAGGAGTTGCTCTTACCCGAAAAGGAGCAAATTCATAGGGCAATCTGGGAATAAAGCAAACGGGTTTTTGCTTAACAAAAGCCTCATTCTGAATTACAAAAAATGAAATGAAAGGTTTTTATTCAAGGGTCCTCCTTTCGTGATGAGTCCAGATTTCAATAGTGAAGCATTCTAGCGGAAAGATTGTTCGAGCTGGGACTTGTACCACTTCTTAACCCTGGATCTTTTTGTAACAGCAACGAGTGGCTCGGGCTTTTCAGACGGCGTTTGTGTAGGTAAAAGTAAACGATTTAATTCTTCAAATGCAAGCATCATTAGCACTGAGCAGAGCATGTTGCTGATGATCAGCTCCAGAGAGCGCTGAACCAGCAACCGATCTATGTACTCTCTTCTGTCGGAAGGAGCAAATGTAATACACAGTATCACACGTAACTCTCATTCACGGCAACGTACATAATAGTTACGTAGAAAACGACCCCAATGATCCTCGATGGTTGTTTGACGATGGTAACGACAGGGACACAGCTCATTACGGGATAAATCCCTGATACCTCTCAGGGGATGAAGGTTTGAAAAAAAATGCTAACCCCAAGGTTTTGTCCTAGGATTTCAATTCTATGTTGCAGGCGACGTTATACCTTTATTTTCTATTCTCTGCCAACGTATCACCTTTCAACAGCCAAGAGATCCACCATTAGGAACGAACACAAAAGCTCTAATATGATACTACCAGTCGGATCGCCCCGCTAACGCCGGGCTCTCCTCCTTCTTATGTAATGCCCGGCTACGCCGGGCATCCTGCTTCTTATGTAGTAGGGACAAAGATTGGTACAAACAAACAGGGATTTATTTTCGATGAATATAACATGAAACTG